TTTTTTTTGGAAAACAACACTTAAACCACCTAACTATTTGGTTTTTTGCACTTTACTCATTCAACATTTTTTCGTGACACTCTGCCTATACAACTTTGCGAAAAATTGCACTTAACCAATTTTCGGTCATCGTCGGAAATTTCTGAGGGCAAATTTGGCTTTTCAGTCATTCATCCAGTTAATTGTAATTTAAAAATTACACTTTACCCACCCACCTATACGTTTTTGTGTATTTTACCCACCCAACTTTTTTTATTATTTACACTTAGCCCATAGAAATGGTCGGATGGTGACCGGAAATTGGTTAAGTACAATTTTTTTAGAAGGTTATATGGGTAAAGTGTCACAAAAAAAAGTTGAGTTTATAAAATAAAAAAAAACCCTACAGTTAGGTGGGTTAAGTGTAATTTTTCCCTTTTTTTTTTGGGTAATTCTGATCATTCAAGACAACACAGCCAATTCACGACAAATTTATCCTAAGTTATGTTAGTGTTGTTATATTGCTATCTCTTCTAAAAGACATTTCATTTTCCAGGATGTTGAGTATTCTGGTGGAGGTATCCCACTTTACTAGCTTCTGTCAAGCCGAAGGTTGCATTAATATTATGAATTGTTCGGTTTTCTCGGTTGAAGAACATTTTTTTTATGGATGGTTTATAGTGACATTTGAATAGGGGAAATTGTTAGTTTTTGAGTTTGTGTTATTCAGATGATGTTTATTGCAATGAACTTTCATGGCTTGTTTCTGAGAGCCTCTTCTTGTTCACTCAAATGATCAGAGTATGTTTTGCAGCTTGTGTGTACTTGTATTGTATAATTTGAACATACCCCATAAATTAATATTTGTGCTTATGAATTTATAGTGTTTGAAAATGGAACTGAACAATAATTATTCAAAGTACGACTCTGAATAGAAATAGAACCTTAAAAAACAAAAAAATTACATTTTTAGTCCCAAGATTTTAACTTTTTGTTTTTTATTCTGTAATTTAGTATTTTTCTGTAATTTCAATTATTTGGAACTGAAATTGCAAAAAAAAATTAAAATTACAGGATTTAAATTGCTAACCAAAAATCTATCCAAGAGATTTTTTTTATTAGTAATTTAAGTCCTATAACTTTAAATTTTGTTGCATTTTCAGTCCAAAAGAACTGAAATTGCGTTGAATTTCAAAATCATAAGACCAAATAGTAAAAATGTTCAATTCTTATGACTAAAAACACCATCGGATCAAACCAACATGTTCAAAATTGCAATTTTGTCAAGAAAAAAAAAAAAAATGTCATCTGTTTATTAATTATTTTCTCATATATTTACATCTTTCTATACAAATTTTAAATTAAAAAAAAATACACAATTATCTATAAAATTTGATTTTTATCCATTATTATATTCACAACTATCCGAACATCTATATATATATTAAACTGAAGCAGCTGGAAAAAAATTTGTTTTCCCTCCCATTTTATATTAAATGTTACTCATTAATGATTTGATAAAATCAATAAATATTGTCTAAA